CACCAAGGCATGTTTGGATAGCTCTTTGGTAAGTGGCACTAGCATTCTTGAGTCCAAATGACATGATTTTGTAGCAGTAGGCACCGAACGGAGTGATGAAAGATGTCTTGCTCTAGTCTTGTTCATTTAATGCGATCTGGTGATATCCTGAATAGCAATCAAGGAAGGATAATAGGGCAGATCCTGCTGTTGAATCAACTATCTGATCAATGCGTGGTAGCCTGAACGGATCTTTTGGACAGTGTTTATTGAGGTCTGTGTAATCGACGCACATGTGCCACTCGTCTGTATTCTTTTTTTGTACTAGAACTAGTTTTGCTAGCCAATCTGGATGGAGGATTTCTCTAATGAATCCGGCTACCATTAGCTTTGTGATTTCTTTTTTAATTGCTGCCTTCTTGTCGGGTGAGAATCGTCATAACCGTTGCTTCACAGGCTTGGAGCCTTCATTGATATCAATTCTGTGCTCAACCAACTCTCTTGGGACACCTAGCATGTCGGCCGGTTTCCAAGCGAAGATATCTTTGTTGTCCCGAAGAAAGTTGGTGAGCGCGAGTTCCTATTTTGCCGAGAGGTGGGCGCTGATGGTTGTCGTTTTGGAGGGATCACCGGTGCCCAGGTCGATTTGCTTGACGTCGGCTTCTTTTGGTGGTGCGAGGATGCTGGGTTTTTTAGCCGGTATCTCTAGCTCTTCTAGGCTCATTTCTGCTGCGATAGTGGCTATTTCTTTTCTACCATCGGTGGCTTGTGCTTTTACTGCAATTTGGATTGTCTGAACGTTGCAGTCAAAAGCACGCTTCAAATCACTCCGAAGAGAAAGGACACCGTTAGGCCCTGGCATCTTAAGCAACAGGTACGGATAATGCGGTATCGCCATGAATTTTGTTAGTGCTGGGCGCCCGAGGATTGCGTGATATGATGAATCAAAGTCTGCAACTTCAAACTTGATGAACTCTGTACGGTAGTTCGAGGGAGTCCCAAAAGTAACCGGTAGAGTGATTTGTCCAAGTGGCATCGCTGCCTTGCCGGGTACTATGCCGTAAAAAGGGGTGCTCGTTGGTGTAATCATCCCGACGAGTTGTAGTCCCATCTTCCTTAGAGTTTCTGAAAAATGATGTTGAGTCCGGCTCCTCCGTTGATTAGTACTTTTGTGACAGTCATACCAACAATAGTTGGATCTAGAACCAGTGGGTAATGGCATGCGTTTCCTACGCTGGTCCATTGGTCTTCTTTTGAGAATTGGATTGGATACTATGACCAATTGAGATACCTTGGAGTAGCCGGTTCTGCTGCCATGATAGTTCATAGTGCTAGCTTTTCTTGATGTTTGCTTCTAGAATCTGGAACCTCAGCAAAGATTACTGCTACTGTCCCCCTGGATTTTTGGAATCTCTTGTCTTCGTTGTTGTCTTCATCTTTTTTCTGATTGTCTTCTTTTGTGTTTCCCTTACTATCTTTTCTTATGTATCGTTCATTGAAGGTGAAACAATTTCTGATGGTGTGATTTCCTTTAGGGTGCAAGATGCACTGCATGTTTTCAATGTCGTCATATCTTCTGGGTTTGGAAAACTTTCTTGATTTGTCAGCCACCGCTGCGGTGTTGTCTGATCCACGCTTCCTTTCCTGATGTCTGCTGTTTCGATGATTTTGCTTGTCCAGGTTGTCTCACTTGTTTCTATCTGGGAACCTTTCTCGTGTCTTCTCCTCCGTAGTAATCATCTTTTCTATTGTTCGTCTGAATTCTTTATTGTTTCTTGGGTTTTCTTTGCAGAAGTCTTGAAATTGCCACCTAGGCATGATTCCGTGAGAGAAAGCTTCAATTACTTCTCGTTCGGTGATGTCATGTACTTGAGCTCACAGTTCACCAAATCGTCGATAGTAATTTATGAGACTTTCGCCCCCTTTCTGCTTGAGTCCTTTTAATTCTACATGGGTGATGGGATGCGTAATGATACCCGTGAAATTTTCACAGAAAGCTCTTTGCAAGTCCTCCCAATTTCTGATTGATCCTGGATTCAATTTGTCAAACCATTGAAGGGGCATGGTTTCTAGGGCCATGGGAAAGAACAAGGTCTTGATATCATCGTCTCCTCTGGCCAGTTCAATCAATTGCGAGTAAATCCTGAGCCACTGCCTTGGTTCGGTCTTACCATCATACTTAGAGTGGTTGGACGGCTTGAACTTGTGAGGTAGCCGTATTCAAGCAAGTCTGTTTGCAAAACAGAGAAATCTATCGTGCGTTCTGGCCTCTGTGTATTCTGATTCAGCACTCCCTTCTTGCCAACTGTTATCTTGGTGAGAGTAGTTCTGCGTGGCTGTCTGAATAGGTGCTTTGCTTGTGACCTTTCTTGGTCGTTCGACTCGGTCGTTTTGACTATGGTCCCTTCTACTTTCTCTGTTGTGACTTCCACTTGGTCCAAGTCTCTCGAAAGTGGACTTCCTTTGATTTTGATCTTCCTGCTCATGAGATGTTGACCTGGCAGGCAGTCTTGAGCGGGTCCTCCCGTCGTGCGTCCTTAGGACTGTTGATCGGAGAAAGTCCCGGAGCTGTTCTTGTTTTTCACTGGAATGTGAGGTCGCCCTGAGTTCTTCTAGTGCTTCTCGGATCTTATCGTAGGGTGTATTCGTCGCTCGTCCTTCTTCGACCTCTCGCTCTGATTTTCTTCTATTGTACTTGGCTAGCTCTGACTCATATCTGATCCAAGCTTCCTTGCGCTGCCTAGTACGGCGCTGGAGTCCTTGTTTCAATTTGTTCTTTCTTTCTCTAGCTTGTTTTTGCGCCTCGGTCTCACCATCGTGCCCCTAGGTAAAGGGTGATATGTTGGACTCAGATTCATCCGATGACCTGACGTCGGACGCTTCTAGGGGGACCAATCGTGATCGAGGGCGGCGAACCATGAGTACTTCTCGTGCGTGAATTGTTCCGCTATCAGCGTCGGTTTCCACCCTGTCGGAGTAGTTGATAATTTTAGTAGAGGCTTCGAGGTCGCAGATCGAGTCTCCTTCTTGGTAGGGTAGAATTGTTGTTGTCGTATTGTCGACTAATTGGATGCCGCTATCCTCAGGAACGGAACCTGACCAGTGGACAATGCAGTCTTGAGATGTTATAGTTAGTACGAGACCTTCCTGAGCTCCTTTCAGTGGCATTCTAAGCACCGGATCAAGGAATCCTTCGGGCCGTGTTTGATAAGACGTTGCCATGTTGTGGAGTCCGAACGGAAAAGGACCGACTTCTTGAAAAGACTCTGAGTGTACTCCGAGTTGTATTCTTGATAGGCCAAGGCCGCGTTCTTAAGCCCCATCGGAAAAGAACTCGGTTTCTCGGAAGAACTAGGGTAAGACTCCATTTCGGATGCGGAACCTGAGTTTGAGTCGGATGCGCAAAGTCGCGAAATCTGAGTTGAATCGGACATCACGAGTTGCGCGAATCTTCTAGCAAGTTGATTTGTCGTAGTTGCCGAAATAGAATGGTCTTCATGGTGATCCGAATCTTCGAGGAGACGGCTTTGAAGCTTGCCATTGTCATCTGCCTCGCAGATCCATGAACCAAAGATGAAGGTTGATCCCGTCGAGAAGATCATGTTGTCGAGGTCCGTCGAGCTCTCGGATGCTAAGTCACCGAAAGCCCCTACCTGGCGCGCGCAGTTGTCGATGTTTCACCACTGATAGCCTACCATGAGGGTACCCGGGGCAATATGTTCGGGCTTCAGCGTATGCGGAACTCGACGGTTAACGCAAGAGACAGTCGATTTATCCTGGTTCGGACCCTCGATCGTGGATCGAGTAATAGCCCTACGTCCAGTCGGCGTTAGCCTTTGCGTTGGATTGATTGTAAAGTGTTGTGTTATGTCGCGTTGTTGTTGTTGTGTGGTTGTTGTTGTAAAGTCCCGTCTCTAGGAACCCTAACCTCTTTTATATAGTCAGGAGATCAGAATCCTAGTCGGTTTAAAATGAGAGTTCCTAGTAGGATTATAAAATAATACTACTACTAAGATTACATGAAAAGAATCTTAGTTAGATCAGATCTTCTCCCTTCTTTGTGGATATCCCGTGGGCCCCGCACCGACAATTCCCGTGGTTTTTTTGGTTGAATCTTCGATGTCTTCGCCTTCACGCTCGACATCCGTATTGGTCTGATGTAGGAAAAGATGACAGCTCCTTTTTGCCAACACTCGAGTTTCCATTTGTAAGACAGAGTTAAGAAAATGGTAGGCCCCCTACCGTGTCCGGAACAGATGGAAACATGAAGACGACGCCCCCCACCAATTGAACAGCGTGTCTGAAGTCAAGAAGCCAAGCCAGGAGCGTATGATTCTGGACCACTGGCGTAGGGCACTAGGGCAGGGAAAGGACAGTCACCACCAGTCACCACCGCACCAGGAACCAGCCAATCGAATGGACAAAATCCCGTACTAAACATTTTGGATTTTATCGCTAATCAAGCACGATGTCACGAAACCCACCGGTCCATTATTAATCTAAGATTCACTTTCAGGACCACGGCTCTATTTTGGACGCAGGATGCTACAAGCACATGGTTACAGGGGTGCTTCGTTTGGGGGTATACGATGATCCATTTTCGAAATCATATATTTTTCTTTCTTTCAGAAGTGAAATGCATTGGTTTGTCACCACACCCATCCGGCCATCGTATTACAAGCACATAAGCTTATAATAATGATAGACCACCCCATGACAGACCATTGCACTTAAGATATCAGGCTTTTACATTTACAGTGGCATTCATAATGTCACAACCTAAACAATAATTTTACACGACATAATTTCCTAATAATAATATTACAACATTACAACACGCTGCAAAGCATCTGCGGTGCTTGCGGGTCACACATCGGCAGTACATGCCAGGTTCGCTGGGATTTGCTAATGAAAATATTGGCTCTACAATAGGATCCACAGCGGAGTCTCTGAGATGCCAGCTTTCACTACTCAATGTCAAAACCGGAACAGTTCTAGTTGTATTCTACAAAACACACAGCTTACGAGGAGTTTAGCGAGAGAACACCAGAGGCAAATAGAAGGTTCCTCCGAGAAAACTGCAATAGCCAGAAATCCACAAATTCTTCAGTTTTCACCACATAGTACCACCATAAAAACAATGATGCTGAATAAACGAGAAATTTCTCACCCGCAGGCTATAAACAGGAGTTGATTTTGTAGGGAGAGCTTTAAGCAGTCTCAGTCGGTTAGCTGAGCTGCCTTTGCTGTTTCAGAAAAAAGACAAGGGTGTTTTGCAGTCAGAGCAAGAGAATTATGTGTATGCTCGAATGGATGAGAATCTTAACATGTCAAACTTACGTGTCCTCTGTCTTCAGGGTTTTTGTGCTGGAAGCGACATCCCAGAGCTTTACAGTACAGTCGGCCGATCCCGATGCAAGCAATGCTCCTTCACAACTAAAGACAACAGCAGGATATATTGACCAAGAGCATATTTCATGAAACAATATAATTAAGCAAATCCCTCAAATTACAAGTAAATGCAGTTCAACCTTGCGTCACAGAACAGCGCACATCATGAACGGTCACCGGAAGAAATAATATACCCCCTCCATCGCAAAAAAAGAGTGCAATTCTAGCTTTGAATCTTGACAAGCGTTTGTCCAGATTCAAGGGAGCATGTTTGAGGCCTTACATTGCAACTTAAATAAAGTGGAAACCGGCGCAAAAGGAAAAAGGGGCAACCTACAGCAGAGTTTAATCTTTACATGCTATATATCCCACTGGTATGGGTTGCTAACTTGCAGTAAACCAATGAGTGCATTGCCATTTGCAAAGGTTCTCCCCCAAAAGAAGGTGCATTGCTGCTAGTGTTTTAAGGACTTGCCTATTAGTCTAACAGTAACATCATGTGTCTTATGTTGGAGAAGATGAAATTTTGTACTGCTTCTCAAAATATAGGGATCCATGGTATATTGAAGTTGTAAGACAAGAAATTACCAAACAATCCCCCGTTCTGGCTTTTCTAGGTACATTGTTTTTGCTATGCACCTAGATATAGATCATCAATCATGTCTACATACATAACAAAAGTTATGTATCTAGAAAATCTGGAACGACTTATAATTTGGAATGGAGGGAGTACATGAGAGTGATTAAGGACCTCCGGTGTACATACAAAAGGCAATGAGAGAATAACAAAACAGAGAGCACTAAACCCAAAATAGTACTATGCTTTGAAGCCTAGACGCTAAGTTTGGCTAAAGATATTTGAATCAGATTGCAAACCTGGTTGAGAAAAAAAATTCAAATGTTCTGTTTAAAGAGCTCATAGGACAAGTATCAACTTTGATCAACTAAAAAACTAAAGCAAGCAGGAACAGAGCAACTTTGCCCTTTTAGCTGATGCCTATAGACTCATGTATTCTGAAACACATCAGAATCTGTGAGACCACCAGTTTCAAGACATCATTTCATGAGATCAAATTACATGATCTTCAAATTAAATACTATCAACAAGGATTAAGAAATGTTTAGCACTGATTCCTTGATACAGCACTATTGTAAAATTACATGGTCCTGCTGATTAAACTGGTTATGAGTGGCTGCTGGACTTGCCAGCTTATCAAGAAATGTTTTCCTTTTAACTACAATGAACACTTGCTCTTTAGGCAAGCTCACGCAAGAGGTATTCAGATAAAATAAAAAGAGACTTGGCGTGAACTAAAAAAGTTACAACAGCATATAATGATTACCTGAAAGCAAGTGTCCACACACAAGAGCTGTGTCCTAGTAGTGGTGAAACACAACGGCCAGTCGAGAGATCCCATATCATGATTGTTCCATCTTCATCTCCAGAGGCCATGTATTGTCCATCAGGTGACATTGCCAGTGATAAAACCATACTCCTATGACCAATAAACATCCGTATGCATTCACCCGTCTGAACATCCCAGAGTCTTACAGTTTTATCGCTCGAGCCGGTGGCAATGTAGTTACAGTTTACATGCCACTGGACACACTGTTATGCAAAATATTTCCAGGCAGAAGAAAAAAAAAAAGATCAGCCAAGGCAAGATCAGCCAAGGCATGCTGGCATCAATACAGGGCATTGATAAAAACAAGTAGATATCCAAACATAAAAGAATTAAAAACACCAATAATCCAATTTAACCAAACCATTATTCTCAAATTATATTAACGTATTGGACCAACAAGTTCACTTACATCAACATCAGAAAGATGCCCAGCCATTATTCGCAAAGGCTGGATTTTATCCATTGACCAAATTCTAGCAGTCCTGTCGTGTGAAGCACTAGCAAAGTAATGGCCAACTGGGCTGAACTGTAATAAAAATATAAACAAAGAAGGTATCAACAAATAGTATAATGCATAAGGAGTGTTAAAATCTTTACAAATACAAGGTCAACATCATAAATGGCTATTCACAAATTCACATACTTGGACATCCCAAACCGGGTAGTTGTGTCCTTTGTAACAGACAAGATTGGCATTCAGCTTGGTGCTCCATAGTCTTACTGTAACAAATAAAATAAGGATAACAGTGACAAATTTAAAAGACAGCTAAAAAGAAAAGGATTGCTACAAAATTTAAACACTGTCTACGATGTGAGATGTCTTACTTGTCGAGTCTGAAGATGATGATAAGAGAAAATCACCAAACAGGCTAAAGGCCACAGAATAAACTGGTCCAGAATGGCCTTGAAATAGTGTATAGGTTCTTTTCCCCTCATCTAATGTCGATATGCGCTCACCCTGGGAAGACCCATTCTCACTCTGTGAACTTGCTGAAATTCAAAGTTTACTGAATTAGCAAACACCATCAGTATTCAACTAGAATATTTGAATGCTAGAATTATTCTCATGTCCATAACAGGCTTTAGAGACATAAAGCGATTGCAAGCTACTCCCTCTGTTCCAAATTATAGTTCACTCTAGCTTTGTCCTAAGTCAAACTACCATAACTTTGACCAAGTTTATAGAAAAATGTATCACCATCTATGATATCAAATTAGTTTTATCAAATTTTCCATGAAACATGTCTTGATAGTACATTTATTTGAACTTGTGTCAATATCTTTTTTTCTAAAAACTTGGTCAAAGCTAGCAGAGTTTGACTTATAGGACAAAGCTAAAGTGAACTATAATTTGAAACGGAGGGTGTAGTCGAGAATTGAAAAACACAACCAACTTTGACTTTAAGATGATATATTGCACTTTGTGTTTTTAACATAAGCTGATTAAATTTTCAAAACATTATGTCAAACATGACCTTGGCCTAAACTAGATGCAAAATTATGCATGTAGTTCAGCATAGCAAATATTAAGAATATGAAGATACAGAGTGAAAGAATTGGTAAGGAATAAGAAAGTGTCTAACTTACACATTTTTGCTGGTTGGCCAATCTTTGACATATCCCAGATCTGTTGGAAACCAAGGACATTTTACCAACTAAAAATACAAATAGCATGAAAAAGAAGATATGGCATTTGACCTGAATGGACTGACCTTCACTGACGAATCAGAAAACCCACCAACAACCAGCGATCCGTCGTGTGATATTGATGAGCAGTTTAATCTGTGTTCCACATGATGATACTCAAACCACAGTATTAACAATGAGGTCATAAGTATTTAATAACAGTTATATTTACCCATTATGTGTATTAACGAATGTGTAGAAGTTGACAGATGGCAATGCCACACTATTCAGTTGTGCACGGTTTCGCAGGTCCTCAAGAATCGATTGTTCAACTTCAACAGGCCTGAAACATGAAGACTTTTCATACTCGTACATCTCAAGGTTGATTAATTTGACAGAAAAAAGTGTGAAACAATTAAACCAACACAAACCTCCGAACTAAACAATTAAACGTTATAGGCAGAAAAATTTGCCGTATGAGTTCAAACTGCATATTATAATGTATTACGGCTATCACCCTAAATGGGGAAAAGGATAAAGTATGTGAGCCCCAAAGAATTGAGCACAAAAAGGGTCAACAAACAAAGCAAAAGGCATCATTTGGTCTGTCGTGAATTATTCAGGGCCTTAATTTTTTATGTTGTCCTATAAAACGAGCTTCACTTTCAGTTCTATTACAAAATAAGCTTCCTGATCACAAAATCAAAATTTCTAGCAAGTAGATGAAATTCACATGTGGGACCTGGGGGTACCTTTCAGTGACAAAAATGACATTCCTGAAGGAAGCCTAAAGTATGGTATTATTTGGCACTTTGAAAAGATTAGGCACACTAACAGACAACACATGAAAAATTGGAAGGACAATTTACCATAGATAACCAGAAAGGAATTACAAACATACGTTGCTGGGAGAGTTAGCTCCGGTTTCACTCGAGGTGCCACAGAAACCATGCTTGTTTCAGTTCTGACGTTTTTTCCAGTCGCACCTACAAGCTTGTCCTTTTTGGCCTTCTTAAGAGAAGCACCTTGCTTTCCACCTTCTGCATTTCTTTTCTGTAGCAAAATGTAATGAGAAAACTTATGACAAGGAATAGTAAATGAAATATGGGTTGCAAAGACACCAAAATTCCTATGACCAGGAACACAGGTATGCACAGTCGAACCAAGCAATGAGTGTTTGCTATTAGCTACAGATTACAGATGGCGCAGTTGGGCTGTTGGGGGCACATTCTCAGACACACGAGTAAAACAAAGGTCGGTATTTCAATGGCAACAGTACAGATTAGAGAACACATAATGAAAAAATTCTGATATTACAAAAGAGTTCCTTGCCTTGTTATCTTCTACATCAGCATCCTTGCTTTCAGCTTCTATTTTATCAGATTCTGCTAGTGCCTTCTCCATTCGCTCTTCAACAGAATCTTCAAGCAACTGCAAAACATGATTTTAGTTGAAGTGCACGAGAGCATATTGAACAGAATATATTAACTTGGCTGGCAATACATCAAATACAAACTATTTAATCTGCAATGTTGGCTATTTAACACAACTTAAGTGGAAAACAGACCAACAGATGCATAACATACCCCCCAATGTACTTCCTTCTGATTTATCTGTTTTGCCAAGTCCTTGCTTGTCCCAATCAGAGCAACAACGTCAGCATCATCAGAGATTAATGAGTGCTGCCCAGGAGATACTGCCAATGTAGCGTACATAGAAGTGGTAGAGAAGATTGTCAGAAGTGAAAATGCAGAAGTATAATACAAAATTACAAATAGGAGTACATTTCAACAGATCATGGAATTGTACCTTCAAAAGTTATGTGCTCATTGATTACTCCAAGCACCACACGGGCTTGTGTTTTCTGGAGATACTGGAGAAGCAATTCATACGAATACTGCAATTGAAAATAAGGTAAAAAAATTAGTTGGGGGAGCTGATGTTGTCAAGGAATCAAATTAGTTGGGGGAGCTGATGTTATTCCAAATAGCAACACCAAAGCTTCCAAGAAATCAAATCACAATAGCTGTCAAGGAATGCAGCAGAAAGATAAAGAATAATGGTGTGCTAACACAAAAACGTGAAAACTTCAGCAGAGAACACTGAGCTTGTTCTTGCCTATAAAATCCGTAACACAGAGCTGCTATAACTCCCAAAATATAACAATATGAGACCTGTTATGGCAAGTGTTTCCGGCCCAGGGGGGCACATGGTACTTCATCGCGTGAACAGTACCACGAATTGCATTAGATTAGATTAGATTGGTTCGGTTTATTAGGAAAGAGATAAGTTAGATTGATTCTGTTAGATATTTGCTTAGGAGTCAAGTCAGCTCATCTCTATAAAAGAGACAGTTAGGTACCAATTAGAGGCAAGAAGAAATCGATCTAAGAAGCAGCTCAGAGCCTCCAGAGGGAGAGCGAGTTGGCAGATCTATCTGTTGTTCTTGTATCCCATTCCCCAATCAATCTACCACAACATCTTGGGTATCAGAGACTTCAATCCTCGGTCCTGTGCGCCAACAACCACTGCCTTCCATGGGTGATTTAATCACCATTTATGAGGGCTTTGACCGCATCTTTGCGGGGTATGATCGCATCTCCATGGTGATCGATCAGATCTACGAGATGATCCTCGAGCTTACCGATCGGATGAAGGTGTTGACGCCGATTTGGGTCACACACACCGGTAGGGGCTAGATCGCCCAGAGGCCGCACACGGTCTAGCGCGCAGCGGAGGGAGATTCCAATGGTGGGGCCGACCAGCAGGTCAACGAGGCCGATTAGCCACTCGTTCTTCATCCGATAAACCCACTAACGCCTCCCGGGGAAACGCACGGTGGGGGTGTCCAAGGATCGGCAAAGCCACCTAGAACGCCCACAAATCCCGTCGAGGGACATGTAGGGCAGCAAGGGGGTTCGGAGAGATAAGGGTAAAAAGTGGGTAGATTGATAAAAGATCGATTGTATAGTTGGATCCCTCAATTGGCCGTCACCCTTTGTATTTATAGGGTGGCTGGTCTTTACTGCAGCCCCTTGTTAGGAAACTTAATTTACTAAATGCGACTAATCTATCTGTACATGGCCAAATATGTTAGTCGACCGTGCATGAGTATATCTCTAATAGTCGGACATGTACTCCAATCATCTCTGGTCATGACGTGTGCACTTTTCTTTAATATTCTAGCTTCTCTTGCCTCATCTATCCACGTGAGGAGCACCTGGACTTCAGGTCTCTCCTATCCAAATATATTAAACAATCTTTCCTAATCGGCAATGCAGAAAAGCATTACACGACTTTTTTTACGCGACAAATATTTTATCTCCATAAAGTGATCAATCTAAGCAAAAAAACATGGGTGAGCTAACAAACACAATTCAAAAAGATAGTTTAGAAAAGGAGGGATTAGTAATGCAGTTACCTCGCATAATTTAATTTTAAATTTATTTTTCCTAAAAGATCGGGCCAGTTCCATTTCCTGAAAATTATGGCATGCAGAAGTTAATTGCACAGTTCTATAATGCTAAAAAAGGTAAGATCAATTATATAAAACATGGGCCCATTCACAACATAATGGCACAGTATAGTGCAGAGCTAAATAACCTCCAAGTGTGAAGGAGAGAGGACGCCTTCCAGCATCTGAAGATCCCTTGAATGCATCACCTCATGATCTTCCCGAAATGTATGGAAAAATGACCGCGCTGTGCGAGATAGCATCAAAGAAAAAAAAAATGCTCTGAATAAACTAAAGTAAATAACAAAAACACAGAAAGTCTATCAAATCAAAATATATCCAAAATAACAAATACCTTCCTGCATATGTCCCTCTGCCACTAGATCCATGAAGCTATGGATAAAAACTGGGTGAAGGACGCGAAGTAATTCGTGCTACAAAAAACATCTGAATTAAGAAACGTGAATTATATTGCCAGGTTTAAGAATGGAATGGTGGACCGCAAGTAAAAAAGATCAGATCACGGCATTAAATAGTTCGCCTGCCATAACCAAAGGCCCTTTTGAAAAACTAGAATTACGTAAGTTGTCAAGTGCAAAATCATGCTTATATGACAGATTTGAGATTCATAAAAGGAGGTCTGCCATGTAAATTTCTGCCATAGAACACAGAGGATTCAATTAAATGCGTCACTTGAAGGTAACAGTAAGAAATAATTTGAAGGTGTCATATGCCTTGGTTGGGAAAAAAAATAACATTTACAGAATATGTGAATATTAAGTACAGTTTATCTACAAGCAGTGCACCTTATATTGATCAAGAGAACTATATGCCCATGTTCTTAATCTGCTATATCCATCATGGTATCTTGCTGGATCATTGTCAGACCTGTTATTGAAGAATATAATCAATCAAAGGATGTATACACTAAGATTACAAGTGAAAATATAACCACTTCAGAATCTGTGTATACTAAGGCATTAGGAAAATATTTGTAGGAAGAGTGAAAGACAATGACAAAACAACTGAACTTTGATTATTATATATCAATAAAGCACCACTGAACCAACAAAGCAGATTGCTTCACCAATCATCACATGCAAGCAGTCCAGAAAACACTGTTTTCCAAATGGCCACACACAGCAGGCTCCAACAACTTGATGTCATGGAAATTTCAGGCAGCTATTTAAACATTGAATTTGCTGTAACTTATCCCTTCCCTTCCCTTCCCAAGCGATAGTCCTAACATCTAAGCAACATGTAGCCCATTTCTTCCTCTCCACAGAACAGATGTCTGATACATGAGTGGAAACAATATGAGAAAACAAACTATGGCACTTGCTACCAAAAGAAAAGTAACAGTATCTTTTTTTCCTCGAACATGCAGGAGAACTATGTGGCGTTGTATCTTTTTTTCCTTGAACATGCAGGAGAACTACGTGGCGTTGTATCAGGATTCAGGAGATAGAATAAAACGGTACAATTGCAACAGCCCACACACTCTTCGTCAAAATAACAGTGTACCAAAAGTTAAGCATTTTTCACAACAAACTTATTGCAATTTTCAATTAGTGATAAAATTTCAATCAGGGTTGCTACCATGATGGGCCTGATAAATGGCATGTAATCTGCAGGTGGCAGCCACTTAAAACGTGGATCTTCATGAAAACTGAATCGCCACAAATTTATACCCTTCAATCCACAACATGAGTGCCGATTCACCCTACTCGATTATCTAAGCCATCAGTTCACATCCAAGCAACCAAACTAGTCAAATCAACAGTCAAGTGAGAGCACCGAGACAGAGGTTCACACGCCGAGCAGCGAAATAAAATGCACTAATTCGACTTTACACGAGTCCACTAGATTTCCTCGTACAGAAGCTACCGCCACTGGCCAAAACGACTAGGTCAGAGCTACGGCCCAATCTAGCTACCCAGGGAAGCAGGCGAACCTACCGGGCAAGCGCAACGTCGGAGGTGGCGGAGGTGGAGAGGCGGTTGCGCTCCTCCTGGAGCGCAAGCTCGGTGAGGCGGAACCCCTTGCGCTGCAGGTACTGCTGCACCTTCTTGTCCATCTCCTCGTCCTCCATTGCCGCCGCCAGCGCGGAGCGAGGGAGCCGAAGCGGCGAGTTCTAGGGTTTAGGGGCCCGGATCTCAAGTGAGAGGAGAGGACGATGCTCCGAAGCGCGCAGCAGGTGGCGGAAGCGAAAAGGCGGAAGGCGGCTCGCAGGCGAGGCGTACGAGGAGCTGCGAGTGTGGCCGCCGAGGTCGTGGCGTGCGGTCGGTGCGGACCTGAAAGCGAGCGGTGCAGGTCGACGACGGCGCAGAATTTTTTTTGTCTTTTTAAGTGTTTTTTCAGAAAGTTTTTCACACATACGCCCCTAGAGCTATCTTTTTAGAAAAATAGATCCTCACCTCGGCGTCGTCGTTATTGGCGTCTATCTTACATGTTAAGGCGCCGAAGTGTTTGGCGCTTAGCTCTCAAGGCTACGGCGACATGGGGGCTGACCTGGCAGCCAGCACAGCGCCATAGATCTTGGTGCCGAGCTAGGCGCCAAGGCCATTGGCGTCTAGACGGCTGACTAATGGCCCCCCCCAATCTCTATCGTTTCATTCCTTCTCCCTCCACTTGGCGCGACTCCCTCTCTCTTCCTCAGTCCGTCGTCGTCATCGCCGCCGCCGCGCCACCCGCGCACCACCGCGCTGCCTTCCCACGGCCACCTGCGTCCCCAGCGTCGACGACCCCGCCACCCTCGTGACCCGCCGCACCCCTTGTTGGCTGGCGGCCCATTTACCATGTGCCCCCTCTGCTGCTGCTGCCGTCACGCCCCGCTGCGGCGTCGCCGTCCACGAGGGGCGGCCCGGCCACGGCCCCCTACTACTAGCCGGCGACAAAGGGGTGGGGTTGTGCCAGTGCCCCGGGGCTGGTGCTCGCCTCCTCCTTGCAGACGCCGCGCGCGCCTTTTGCCGCCATGGTGGACGGCCAGGTGGGTGCCTTGGCACACCGCCGCCGCACGGAGCCCCGGTCGTCCCATGCCCGGCGCGCCGCCCCTCCCAGCCCGCATCCGCGTTGGCCCCCGCCTGCTCGCGCCGCCTCGTCCGTCCTGGCTCGCTGCGTCCGCCGCATGCATAGGCGCTCCCTCTGGCGACCCCGGGCGCAACACGGCCCCTGCTCCCGACGCGCCGTGACCTCGCCGTCGATCCCGTCCTCCGCGTCCCCGTCCTGCTCCGATCCCGGCATCCACGTCGCGTCCCGGCCTGCTTTGCCCGGCCACGCCCCCGGCCCCTGCTACGACGTCCGCGAGCCTACCCCTCCTCACCCGCAGGGGAGGGGCTAGTGTCCTACTACAAGGCCGCAACAACCGCTAGAGCTCTGTTCACCTCTAATGTCGCGTGCTCTGTTCGTTGCATTGACTTAGACAGGTAAAAATTTTGAATATGTAATGTAAGTACTTAGTTAGCTTAAATTGTAGTGCTACTTTGATTATTTGGTAGTTTTTAGTAAATTTGATGATGTAGGTAGTTGATTTTGTTAGTGAGATAGATATAGTTAGATAAATGTAGTTAGATAGCTAGTGACATAGTGTCGATGTTTCGAGTTGCCACCAATAAGTAAATTTCTAATATTGCGCGTTTGGTCCGGATGGTGTGTTAAGAGGACACGGGGTTTATACTGGTTCAGATAGGATGTCCCTACGTCCAGTTCATTGATGCTGCTCATGTTACTAGCACTGAAAGTTCGTAGTAGGGGTTACAAACGGTCGAGAGAGGGACATATCCCAAGTCTCTGGTGGTGTGTTGTGATGAGTTCCGATAGGTACGGATGAGTTTGACTCGGTGTGATCTGTTGTGATGTGATGTGTTCGATCTCCCCTTTGTGAAATGCCCTACTTTCCCTTTTATATGCCAAGGGAGAGCACGAATTACAGTAGAGGAAGAGAAGAAAACGAGAGAAAGAAGTCCTTCTATATCCCTGGGGCCTTCTTCTCCTTTATGTGGGTCCCGCCACCCCCTGTAGACGACAATAGGGACAGCTTCTCGTCGCGACCCTGTCCATCACTGGCGCCATGTGCAGGTGTCATCTGCCAGTCATGGCGCTCCACTCTGTCCTAGCGGACGTCGTGGTGAACCGACGTGCTCGTCAGTGTTCGTACGGGGGTTAGGCAGAACAGCATCGGTACGCCCGACGTTGTTCCTGACGTGAACCCCCAGGTATGGTCCGTCGTGGGTCGTGGGTTACATCGAGGCGTGCCAGTCACTTTCCTGGCATCAGAGCTTTGATCTAGGCCCATTCGCTTGGACCTGGAGTGGTTGGCGGCGGTATGGGTCTCCGTCGGGTGAGACGGAGCCTCCGGCCTTGGGGTCGGGCGAGGCGGAGTTCCTCCCTAGAGGCGGGGTGAGGTGGAGCGCAAACCTAAGGGTCGGACAAGGCAGAGCCCGTGGCCTTGGTGTTGGGTGAGATGGAACCCGCCCAGAGGTCGGGCGAGGCGGAGCGTGGACCCAAGAGTCGGGCAAGGTGGAGCGCGGACCCAAGGGTCGGGCAAGGAAGAGCCCACGGCCTCGGAGGTCGGACGAGGTGGAGTCCACCCCTAGTGGTCGGGCAAGGCAGAGCCCGGACCCGAGGGTCGGGCGAGGCGGAGCCCGCGGGCTTGGAGGTCGGGCGAGGCAGAGCCAACCCTCAGGGGTCGGACGAGATGGAGCCCGTGGCCTCGGTGTCGGGCGAGGCGGAGCCAACCCTCAGGAGTCGGGCGAGGTGGAGCTTGTGTACTTGGGGGTCAGCAAAAGCTGTAGTCACGGTCTTGATCGCTCGGATGAATCAACGTTGATGGTTATTAGCTCCTCCTCTTCGGGTACCCTAGTATTGATCCCCGACAGTAGCCCTGAGCCTGCGGAGGAGTAGAATACTCCTTCGGAGGTTTTTCCAAAAGGGAGGACTCTGAGGGCCCTGGCCTTCTTTTGTTGCCCACAGCATGTCCTGGGGACGGTAATTCCCTCTTGTCGAGGTCGGACCCTTCGCGGGTATGGCCGTGAGATTTGGTGGTTTGTTAGCTAGCTAGTTTGATTGGGGTCCCGGCATCCCGTTCGCGGGGATCCGACTAGGATCATCTTGGTGATTGACTTTAGATTCTCCGCGATCAATCCACATAGCACTCGGGTCCGTTCGATCGGTCCCGAGGGCTCTCTGCCTTTCTTCAGGAAAAAACCATGGATCGTACCTGGTTGAGACTCGATTGTGGGCCGGGATGCTCGTGGTGCTCGTGCGCCTAGGTACTAGCCACTTGCGGGCCCATCCCTTTCCATCCCTTATCCTAAGGGTGCCTGGGGCGGTTGTCGAACCCATTGATGGGCCAACCTTCAAACTTCTCGGCCTAGGTGGGCCGTAGAGGTGTTTCTTTATCCGTATTCCTCTTACTCGTGACGAGTCGTGGCCCGTCCGGAGAGGCAAAATGTCGGCGAGTTTTCCGAGGGGACGGACATATTGCATGCGCACTTTTCGTGGCGGGACGCTGTGGTAGATCATGGCAGGCATGGAGATCTAGGTGGACGGTTGGTTTCCTCGCATCCGTCACCCCTATAAAACCAAAGGGTTCGCCCCTAGGGTTCTGTACCTTGCATCCTTGCCTCCAGAGCCATGACCGCCGCCACCAATCACCTAGGGTTCCCCGTCTCCGTATCCCCGCCGCCGTTGAGCCCGCATCCAACTGCCCCCACCTCCAATGGATTTGTGGTGCCGCTCCAACATCACCTTCCAGCGCATGGAAGGTCTCGTCCGTCACGGTCTTCTCCGTGCGCGGACCTCGGCCGAGGAGTGGCTGCTGCACGGCGAGGAGGAGCTGCCATCGCCGTTCGATGGCTACATAGTGTCATTCGCCAACTTCCATGGGCGTGGGTTCGCAACCCCTGCCCACAGATTTCTTCGGGGGTTGCTGCACTACTACAAGATCGAGCTGCTGCATCTCAACCCCAACGGGATCTAGCACATGGCGGCATTCATCGCCCTGTGCGAGGGATTCCTAGGGATCAGCCCCCACTTCGATCTATGGAGGTACTTCTTCGCCACCACCCTCCAGAACAAGAGGGAGAAGAGCGCCAGGCAGAAACTGCACATGCCGATGTGGTGCACCAGCATCCAACTCCGGAACAACCGGGTTGGTGAGTATCTACCGATGCGGCTATCAACCTCCAACAAGGGGTGGCATTCGCAGTGGTTCTACCTCAAGAACGACGCCGCCGCCCCTCTATCGGAGTTCACCGAGCGCCTGATTGAAGAGGCCCCGGAGTCATGGAGGAAGTGTGGTGTCCTAGAGAAGGACAAGAAGAAGATCTAGGACCACATCACCACCATCCACATCCTAAAGGAGAGCGACCTGAAGAGGTCAGGCATCATCGAGGCCTACCACGCGAGGAGGGTGGCATCACTGATGATGCAGGCGCTCCCGCTGTACGCGATGGCGCCTGAGGCGTCGTTCGATGGAACAGCGCTCGTCGAGGGGGCGCTCCCCAACTCCAAGATCGCGCAACGCATCAAGGAGGCAATGGAGCCCTCACGGGATAGCATAGCTGCCACCCTCGATTTTGTTTATCCGGTGCCAGGGCATCCTCTGATGCGGCCGAAACTAGGCCACGTCGTCTTTGTAAGTTTCCTCTCCTCATGCCTCCTCTTCAATTGATCTCCCAACCTCTTGATACTAACCTTGAGAGGGGCGGGACCAGCTGAGGGACCTCATCCTCATGGATCACCTGGCTCCATTGCCGAGGGATTCATCCATGAGGGCGACGAATCATGTTGAGGGCGAGCGGCTGAGGAAGGCGAAGGAGGACAAGAGGAAGAAGAAACAGCGAAAGCTGTAGGCGCGGGAGCGAGGGGAGGACACTGACAATGATGACGATGATGATGATGATGGAGATGACGACGAGGTAGTCGACAATATCAAGTGGGACAACCTAGAGAACGAGGTTGTGCTGACAGGTATCGGTTCATCCTTGCAGGGGTCGGCACCCTCCCTATTCCACGGAGGGGAGGGCACATCTAGGGAGCCGGTGGAGATGGGCTGTACCATCGGCCTACCCCAGGAGCCAACAGGGGCGG